TTGTATACTTTATACCTTAGAATATTCTCTTTGTAAATACCTATATATAGGTCATTGTACATACAGTATAATTCAAGAAAGCAATAAACCTTTCTTCAAATTATTATTCTTTTCGATTTTCTAACATGGTATCAGAGCTATAAGCTCCTGGTTCTTTTCTCTTATCATCGCTGTTGGGTTTTTTGGAGTTGGATTTTCAATTCCATTCCAAATCTGAAACTTTGTCATTGGGATCTCTTCTCCTACAGATTGGATTGTTTATCCTTGATTCTCAGGCCCTTTTCTAAGGTATTTTGTTGGTTTGTTATTTCGATCTTGGCATCTATTTCTTCATATTTTTAGAATTTTTTAGTATAGTGAGTTTACTGATTCTATGGTGAGTTTTGAAAGGATTATAACTCATCCTGCTACTGCTATGGTTGCCAAAGAAGTGATAGAACAACCTAATGTCAACCTTGAATCCTTAAAATAGGTGATATTAAATCTTTTTAATGCTTATACTGCCTTATCTACTGCTCCGGGTACCAAACCTTGGTATTTCGATTCTGGTTGTTGTAACCATATGTCTTCAATTACTACTCATTTCTCTTCAATGTCGTCTAATAATTCCTTTCCTGATATTTATTCGGCTGATGGTTCCCCTATGAATGTTAGTCACATTGGCAATGTTTCTACAAAGTCATTGACTTTAACAAATGCCCTTTTAGTTCCAAAACTTAGTTATAATCTTCTATCTATCAGTCAATTATGTGATCTTGGTCTTGAAGTAACATTTTCTACTCATGGTTGTCGTGTGCAGGACCCACGGATAGGACAACTTCTTAGAACTAGTTACAAGGTGGGGCGTTTGTTTGAGCTCAACTATCTGCATATTCTTGATAATAAAATGATACACCATCATTTCCAAATGGTCGATTCATCCAAACCCTGCTTTGTGCTATTGAATTAGAGTCTTTGCAAATTCCATATCAACAAATCTTCCAAGTCTGTGCTGCTACTAACATTTCTCCTCTCCATTTGTGGCATTCACGACTCGGACATACCTCAGTTGGTAAACTTCGTCCACTTATCTCTCGTGGTTTATTAGGATCAGTTCCGAATGAATTTGTGCATTGTGTGTCATGTCAATCTGCAAAGCAGCCAGCTTTATCTTTTTCGAGTAGTCATTCTCATTCTACTGCTCCTTTTGATCTTGTGCATTCTGATGTTTGGGGTCTATCTCCTACACCCACCATGGGGGGTTCCAGGTACTTCGTGTTATTTATTGATGATCATACTCGTTTTACCTGGATATACCTTATAAAAAGTCACTCTGAATTATCACAAATTTATATTGATTTTGCTACCATGGTCAAAACCCAGTTCTCTAAAATTATCAAAGTTTTGAGAACTGATAATGCTACTGAATATCTTGGTACTAAACTTCAATCCTTTTTGAAACAACAAGGTACACTGCCACAACAATCTTGTCCTTATACTTCTGAACAAAATGGGCGAGCCGAACACAAACACAGACACATCCTTGATTCTGTTCGTGCTCTCCTCATTTCATCTTCTTGTCCAGAGCGATTTTGGT